CGTGGCATTATCCCTGGCAATGCACAAGAAGTATAAGCATGCAGCCAGCAGCGAAGGGAAGGCAGAGCTTTGGCATCTATGGATTTTAGGCTCTATTTCCACGGGGATCTGTTAGGATGGTGGTGCTCTTTTAGGCAGCCCCGTCCTCTACTCCAGTGCTTGTTCTCATGTCTGCATCATGCCAAGTGCATACGCAGACATGCAGCCGATTTTAAAAAAAAACCAAGTGGTGCTCTTTTAGGCAGCCCCGTCCTCTACCCCAGTGCTTGTTCTCAGGTCTGCATCATGCCAAGTGCGTACGCAGACATGCAGCTGATTTAAAAAAAAAAAAACAAACCACAAAAACCAGACACCACCACACCTCTCCCCCCCAAAAAAACCCCAAAACCCCACACTAAACCCAAAACCAAGACCCAGAAACCAAACAGAAAGTAGCTTCCCCAGCTGGGTCAGGTCACTGCCCTAGTTGGCTGTGCTGCCACGCACACGGCTGACCTGGCGGAGGGCAAGAACAGGAAAGAGCAGCTGGGCCTTGTGCCCGAACGTGAACCTGAGTGCTCCCAAGGGGTGCTCACCTGGGGCTCTAACCCACAGGGTGCTGTCACAAAAGACAGACAGCAAATGCATCACAACTGCCTGCAAGACTCGCAGTATTTTCCATTCTAAGGACAACACTGTGCGGTGAAAACCAAAAAATCTTTCACAAAATTTTTTTTTAGTCATACACTGTAATTCTGCTATAGAACATCATTTTGTAAGTAAACCACTTTTAAATTCGGCGAATTTGTAGAAGCCCTGCTAAAGCACACAAGCTTTTGGTTCTCAGCATCACACGACAAGCCCAGAATATGACCCCCAACTTTCTTGCTAGTACTTACCACGTGTCCCATGACCCCACTGAAATACCCCCCAACAGTGCTCGTACATCGCCCTCCCTTTGCTCCCACACATGCCTCTATCACCCCTCCACAAACGCATGAGAGTAACTCCTTTACTTACAGATAGATGTTGTCAAAAGTGCCATCTTTTTCGCAGATGTTTAAGACATGATTCAACATTTTAGTTCCTGCCAAAGATAAAGAGATACTTAAGAAAACCAGAAGTGCACAATCAAGTCTGTACTTAGCTAAGGGGTTTCTTGAGGAGAGGTGGGTTAACCCTAGGTAGGCTAAAATTACAGAGCTTGTGAAAACTAGGAAAGGCAAATAAACCATGGTGTATAAGGATTTCACTATCCTTCTGACTGCTCGCAAAATTTAATTCATTGTTTCTTTGGAGAAAAAAAAAAACAACAGCACAGAAGTATCTGTATAAAGCAGCTTATTTAAATACTACCTCCAAGGTCTCAAACCCAACTCAAAATATGGCCGAAGCAATGTATAATGCAGTGAGAGCACTGGTAAGTTTTTCTAATAAAGACCTGGTAAAATTATTTAAAATCCAGTTATCTTTTCATTCCAGTTTGTCAAAGCAAACAGGTTACAGTAAGGTCTTGATTAATCTGGCCTATGGATTTGCAACATGGAGAAAAGAACTAGTTGCAGTATAGACAGAAAGCAGGTACTGCCCTGAGCAGCAATAATCAGTAGTGAAAAACACGGAATAGAGAGAAGAAAACCTTCATTTGAAAGAATGAAGAGATAACCCGATGAAGGAATGTTGTGTTCTACTTACACATGACTTGCATACTAACTGCGTACCTCTGACAAATTATTTCATGTCTCTCTGCATCAATTTTCACATCTATAGAAGCAGAGTATTTACATCACAGTATGATAATCTGATTAAGATTAAAATAATCTGAAATCCTGAATTAGACAGTTGTATAAAAAGTCTGTTTCTGAAAGGCAGGA